CCTGATAATACAATAGACTAGGAATGTTTATCAAAAGAAAAAATAACACTTATTTTTAAAATAAAAGCTGCTATAATGAAGCCAGATGGCTAATAAAAATGGCTTAAATAAAATTTGGTTTTCAAAATATGTAAAAAGAGCTTTAAGTCTTATGGTCAAAATAACGTTTGGGAAGAGGTTTGTTTTAAAGAGAGACATTTTTTGATTGTTTAACCAATGGGGAAAATAAGTTAAGACACCAGTTGAAATTTCTGAGTGAATTTTGAGCTTTTTATGTTTATTTAAACAAAAGTGATTTGAATTTCACATATGAAAGTCGTTGGCAGTTACTGGGAGCTGAACTTTGACGAGGAAGTAGAAAAAGAAAGCAGAAAATAGAAAGATTTTGGCATTTGCAAGGAACAGATCGGATGGTTTCTGGGATTTGAACAAAAGAATAACTAATCAACTCGGCCGGCGCATACGACTACGACGACGACAAAAAGAAAGAAGAAAAAAAAAGAAAAGAAGAAAAGAAATAAAGGCAGAAAAGAAAAATTCTATAAATGTAGACAGATATACGATTGCCTTTCTATAGTTATCTGTAAAAGTTTGTCACCAATTTAGAAGTATTAACCTCGATTTGGAGCGTTTATGAAAACATAAGATTTATCTTATCTCAGTATCTGTCTATATTTCTGAGATGAGGTATTATATACACTGTTTACACTGTTCGGACTATCATCCTCATCATTGTTGCCATATTTATCACAACGTTTAGGCCGTTGTACTCTCCGGCCTTCGTCAGGTGGTTGGAATGTCGAACTGAACCCCTTATTTCGCTCACTGGGGTGAACCTTTCTAGTTCCACGTGCCATGTCTAATGGATGTCAGTTATCAGTTATCACCTGTTAATTCCCCTCTCCAAGTTCTCCACCGACTTCACAAGGTATTATTGCACTCACACACTTTGGGTCCTATCACTGGATATAACTAACGCCTTTGTCCACTGTGCCATGTGTCCTTGAGGACTCATAGTACACCGTTGGAGAAGAGAGTTAACAGGAGATGACTGATAACTGGCATGGCAGGTGGAACTAGAACAGTCTACCCCAGCGAGCGAAATTAACGGTTCAGTTCGACATTCCAACCACCTCATGAAGGCCGGAGCGTATAACAGCCGAAACGTTGTGATAAATATGGCAACAAAGATGGGGATGATAGTCCGAGCAATATAATTAGTGTTATCTTATCTCATTTTATAAAACTGACCTTTTGTCTAAACAAGCCAGAAACATAGCGACAACTGTGAATCGTCAAAATTCTAAACTTTTTCGGACAGTTGAAGGAATCGAAGTGAACATTTTCTGTATATGTTTCTGTGATGAGGCATTGTAAGTATTTACACTATTTACATTGTTCTGACTGCCGTACTCATCTTTGTTGTTATATTTGCGACATTTCGTCCGCTGTACGCTACGGCCTTCTTGAGATGATTGAAATTTCGAAACGAACCCTTTATTTCGTCCACCGGGGTAGATTGTTCTAGTTCCACGTGTCACGCCTCTTCTGAATATCTTAGTTTCAGTCATTTTCCTTTCAGTAACTCAACTCTTCAAGTTTTTGTTTACCTCTGCTGTTTTGATTTGAACTCACAACTCTTGGGTCGGTCAGCTTTTAATCACCTGAAAATGCCGGGCACAACGAACTTGAACTCACAACAACTCTTCAGAACATTTTGTTGATTTTATAATGGTTTTAAGGAAGATGAAAATTAGAACTTGTTATCTTCGTAATTGTTTGTGGGACCATTTTTTTTTTGTTTTTTTTTTGTGCTCTGGGATAACATTTTTTTGTATTTATTTATTTTCAGGGAATGGGCTAAAAGGATTCAAGACATTTTTCAATGAGTTTGAAAAAAAAAATCATACATATTTTCCTGTATTTGTGATAACATTTTTTTGTATTTATTTAAGGAATAAATCTTTTCCGAGGGCACCAACTACAACATGAATTATTGATATCCCCATGTGCCATATTTTTGAGATTTCGAATTTAAGATCCTTTTATTTTGATAGTTTTTTTTAAAGATCTTCAAAGATACATTACAGTCTTCAGGGGCTACCATATCAATAAGGAGGCACATTTTGTCTTTGCGGCCTCTAGTCACGCTGTCAGGGCGATTAGCTTTGATTGTTATGTCTGGGTGTATTGTAAAGTCCCGTAAAATAGTTACAGATTCTATGTCTGTAACCGGATTTGGGTGGTGTTCATACGAATTTTTTCCAGCTTCCTTTCCGTCATTATTATTATTATTATTAGTAGTAGTAGTAGTAGTAGTATAGTTGTAGTATAGTAGTAGTATAGTAGTAGTAGTAATAGTCATGTAATTTTATAAGTGTAAACTTCTTGCAAATTTCATACCGGGGTAAGAGTCTTGTATTTTCGTTTGTGCCATTCAGAATACTCGGGATAAAAAAATTTGAGGTTATCCCATCTACTCCTCCCATAAAAAAATCAGTTTACCTCTTCACGATTACAAGAATCAAAATCTCCTTATATGACATGAAAACTATGCTTTCTATTCGGATCGCAAACGATAACAGCCTCAAACTCTGAGAGACCTGCTTGCTAACACTTACATCATGAAAAAGCGTTCAGCATTCCAATACTGATTTCAAGAATGTCTAAAGTTTTTGGACTTTTCTTCCAAACGGGAGAAGATTACGTCAGGAACCATAGATGGAAATAGGAAAGTGATCTAATGCCATTTAGTTGAAAGTGTCCATCCGGTCCCCGCTTTGCAAAGAAGTGAATTATAGCTGAAAACAAAACGAAATCCTGAAGGATTAAGCGTAACAGATGGACGGATGAGAAAAGGTAAACGTGGGAAATATTGGGATTTTGTAAAGATGGGGAAAGTTAAGGGATTTTTGTATTCATTTATCTATTCACATTTAAGCGTCTTGTTTCTTGCGAGCGGATCATTTTTGAGTGCGTAACTAAACAAGGGAGAATAAATATGAAGAAAAGACTATTAGCCAAGGGATGAAGATACGAAAAAATATGACAACTTAAGTGATATAGCAAAACAAAGATAAAGAAAGAAACGATCTAACGCGAAAGCAAAGAAATAAATATGGAAACAAACAGACAATCCAAAAGAAAGAAAGAAAGAAAGAAAGAAAGAAAGAAAAAGAAAGACGTATTATAAGCACTGGAATTAGTAAAAGAAAGAAAGAAAGAAAGAAAGAAAGAAAGAAAGAAAGAAAGAAAGAAAGAAAGAAAGACGTATTATAAGCACTGGAATTAGTAAAAGAAAGAAAGAAAGAAAAGAAAGAAAGAAAGAAAGAAAGAAAGAAAAGAAAGAAAGAAATTATAAAAGAAAGAAAGAAAAAGAAAGAAAGAAACTGGAATTAGTAAAAGAAAGAAAGAAAGAAAGAAAGAAAGAAAGAAAGAAAGAAAGAAAGAAAGAAAGAAAGAAAAAGAAAGACGTATTATAAGCACTGGAATTAGTAAAAGAAAGAAAGAAAGAAAGAAAGAAAGAAAGAAAGAAAGAAAGAAAGAAAGAAAGAAAGAAAGTGTAAGCACGGGAATTAGTAAAAGAAAGAAAGATTGTAAGCATGAATAGTAAATCTTCAGGAGTAGAAAGTGAAACCATAAATCAAATAAAAAAATAACGAAAGAAAAAGATATTTAGAAAGCCATAAAATCAATAAAATGAAAGAAAGGAAGAATGAAACAAACAGAACAAACGAACGAATGAACAAACTAAAAAAAGAAAGAAAGAAAAGAAAATTGAAGAGCCTAAAAAGATGTGAAAACATTTTCCAGTATGAAAAGAATTACTCTGGTGCGTTTTAGGTGAAATGACACTCCATATATGGGACTCATTTCCATATCGAAAGCCTTGGGATTTCCACAAGGCATACACACACAAACAAACATTAAGTTGCTGGATATCTCGGTGTCTTTCGCTTGTTACGTCGCTCTTAACTCAATATATGTTGCTTTTATTTTCTGCCAAGAATTAAGCCCATCTCAAGATTGTTGTCCAAGACTTTTCAAGGCAAGCGATTTTAGAAATGACTTTCGCTTGAGGGAGAAATACAAAACAAGAAGAAAGAAAGATTTATTCCCCTTTTTATCTTTACTCATATTTTTTTCTTTTCTTTCTTTATTCATTTCCCTTTCCTTTTGTATTTAGTATCTGTCTATATTTCTGAGATGAGATATTATGTACACTATTTACATTATTCGGACTATTGTCCTCATCCTTGTCGCCATATTTATTACAACGTTTCGGCCGTTGTACGCTCTGGCCTTCTTCAGGTGTTTGGAATGTCGAACTGACAGTAGACTGTTCTAGTTCCACGTGCCATGTCTAATGGATGTCAGCTATCAGTTATCTCCAAGTTCTCCACTGCTTTAGCCAGGTATTGAACTCACAACTCTTTGGATCCTTTCACTGCATCTAACCAACGCTTTTATCCACTGTGCACTGTCCTATTAAGGACATCTGAATTTCTGGGACTTGTAAACTTAATGCCTTCATCAAATTTTTTACCAGTGATCAAATTGAAATTTTTGCTGTTATCATTGCATGTTTTTACTAGAGCTCATATTGTAATTTCCGTTGTTATTATTGCTTTTCTCTGGCATTCCTTATTACTGGTTCCCATATTGTATTCATTTTTATGCTTGGTCGGCTCAGGAGATTTTTGTGGCCAAGCATATGTGCTGATTCCTTAAGTTTACGAATTTTCCAATGATGTACTTTGTCTATGATTTCAACCTGATCCCACAGAGAGCGGTGATCTCCCTTTTCTCTCCATATATGGTCAGCCACGCCTGATTTTTCCACTTCCCCTCTTGTTACAGCTTTTTTGGTGTTCTTGAAGCCTTAACTTAAGGAGGCGGCCTGTCTCCCCTTTATATTTCTTTCCGCAGCTGCACGGGATAGAGTACACACAGTCTTTAGTCATGTTCTCCTCTGGGGAGGGGGGTTACTCAGGAGATGCATGTACGAAGTGTCGTCCGGCTTTTCTTTCTTTTTTCTTTTTTCTTTTCTTTTTTCATTTCATTCTTCCTTTCTTTCTTTTTTTATCGTATTTTCCATTTGTATTTACATCGAACTCGACAATTTCCTCCCTCACTCTTTTTTCTGTTCTCCCTTTTTTCTTCTTTCCTTTCTTTCTCTTTTCTTCCTTTCTTTGTTCTTACAACTTTCTTCCTTTCTTTATTTTTCCCTCCTTCGCTTCTTTTTTTTTCTCTTCCTTTCTTGCCTTCTCACTTGCTTCTTTCCTTCCATTCTTATTTTTTTTTCTTTCTTTCTTTCTTTCTTTCTTTCTGGAAAGTCGACTTTCAATTACAATCGGGTCCGTTGTAATTATTAAAGCGCAAATTCCTCTGACAAATACGTCTGGAAAAAGTATGAACACACCTCTTCTCTCCCCAACTATAGGTTAATTCGTAAGACTTTTATCGCTAACTCATTATTATCTCAAAAAATACTTCTTATAATCTAAAAATATTTTCTGACTTAAATAAACTGAAAAGGGTTGATAAGCCGTTAAAAACAAATCAGTCAAACTTTCCTTCTTTGTTTTTTCTTAGTTTTATTTTATCGTGTTCCTTCTATCTTTCGATCTTTCGCTTATATGATGTATTTCATTTGCAATTTTTCTCTTTCTCATTTTCCTCAGATTATTACCAATTTCTTTCTTTTTCTATCTTATTTCTCTCTTTCTTACTTTCTTTCTTTTACTATCTTCTCTCTCTTTTTCTTTCTTTCCCTCTTTCTCTCTTTCTTTCTTTCTTTCTTTTACTATCTTCTCTCTCTTTTTCTTTCTTTCTCTCTTTCTCTCTTTCTTTCTTTCTTTTACTATCTTCTTTCTCTTTTTCTTTCTTTCTCTCTTTCTTTCTTTCTTTCTTTCTTTCTTTTACTATCTTCTATCTCTCTTTTTCTTTCTTTCTCTCTTTCTCTATTTCTTTCTTTCTTTTACTATCTTCTCTCTCTCTTTTTCTTTCTTTCTCTCTTTCTCTCTTTCTTTTACTATCTTCTCTCTCTCTTTTTCTTTCTTTCTCTCTTTCTCTCTTTCATTCTTTTACTATCTTCTCTCTCTCTTTTTCTTTCTTTCTTTCTTTCTCTCTTTCTTTCTTTCTTTTACTATCTTCTCTCTCTCTTTTTCTTTCTTTCTCTCGTTCTTTCTTTCTTTCTTTTACTATCTTCTCTCTCTTTTTCTTTCTTTCTTTCTTTCTTTTATTATCTTCTCTCTCTCTGTTTTTCTTTCTTTCTTTTGTCTTCTTTTCTCTCGTTCTGCCTCTCTTTCCGTTAGCTTTCTCCATTTCTTTCTATCCTACTTTTTTTCTGACACCAGTTTTTGGACATTGTTATTTTTCTTTAGCACTTTACACCAAAGGTATTCTCGTTTTTATATCTTCTTTTTATTTTCATTTTATTTATCTATTATCTTATATGAAAGTTCACTCCAGCCACCAAACCCAAACACACACGCGTCACCCATCCCAGCATGGAGTTTGAGGTGTCGTTGTTGACGATAAAAAAAAAAAATCATTTCAAATAGACGCCACTCCAAAACACGAAGAAAACCAAGCCTCGCTCTGACCAGGCAAATGGTTATGTCGAAATTCTTAGAACAGTCGAGTACATATATAACAGTTACACGCATGTAATTCTACAAAGTGCGACCCTGAGATCCAAAGATGTTTTTTCGATGGCCAAAGATTCATTACAGAAGCTAAGCTGAGTATTAAGAGACAGAATAATTGTGTTAGAAACAAAGAAAAGAGTACTGAACTCTTACATGATATCTCTCCTTCTTTATGGCAGCGAATAGCAGAGAATCTTCGCAGGGAGGAAAGAAAAGACGTGTAGCAACAACGGAGATGTGATTCTACAGAAAGATGCTGAAGATACAATTGAATGAACATTTGAGCAACAACGATGCTTTAGAGAAAATGGAAACGAAAAGGAAACTTATACTTAATATCCTGAAAAAACAATTGAAACTTCTGGGTCACGGCATGCGGAAGTGGGTGGGCTTGGAAAATCTGATACTCACAGGACAGATTGAGGGAAAGCGGGACTGAGGAAAGCAGTGTGTAACATACTTGATAGGCTTGAGTAAATGATGTTAGAACAGGGTTTGGGAGAAATAACAAAAAGACAAAACCTATTAAGAGCTACAAGGAACAGAAAGATGTGGAGGGCCATGAACGCCTACATTCTGAAGCGATACGACACATAAAATAAGAAAATCCTACAAACTCTGTCTCTTTATTGATAATTCCTCCTCCCACTTATTTGTGGTGTTTATTTTAAGTCCTTTTGTGTTAATGTTTATCGTAATTTACTTTTCAGTTTCCCGACCGTAATTGTCTGAGCTATTTATTTTTCAGTTGGTGCATTTAATAAGATTAAAGGAATAACATTATTCTTAAAAACTTTTCTTTTCTTCCTTCCTTTTCTGTGATATTCTTTCTTTCTTTGTCACTCACATTGTTCAACCAATATATTCTTTCTCTGTGTACCGTTCTCCACTTTTTCACCTTTTTCTTTCTTTCTTTCTTTCTTTCTTTCTTTCTTTCTTTCTTTCTTTCTTTTTAAATCAGAGATGGAGTTCACATTCATTTGCACATGGCTTCTTATGCAGTGCTATGAAAATAGATCTGCTTAGGTCTTCTGGTATGTCACCACTGTCGTAGATTTCATTTATTATTTCTGGAATCTTGCCAAAATGATCTAAGGCTGCCAACATTTCCATTACAAATCCGTCTGGCCCTGTCGCCTAGTTTCTGTTTAATTTGGCCAGTGCAGCTTCCACTTCAGTGTTTAATATTTCCCGTCCGTCGATACTCCTGTGTATTGGTGGTTGTTCACTTTCGTCCTGGAATGGTTCATCGATATATTCTTTCCATCTTTGAAGTATTTTTCTTTTGCTTGTATCAGAGTTCCTTCCTTGGGTTTTATGCAACCTGTTGATGATTATATCTTTTCTCTTCTTAGTTCTCTTATTTTTTTATGCACATCTCCTTTATCTGTGATACTCATTCTCTATATTTCTGCACATTTTTTGAGCCATTCTTCTATAGCCTGTCTGCATTTGTTCCTTATTTATTTAAGTATTTTTTCTGTATTCCGTTCCTTGTCTTGGCATCGTTTTCTGTCTGCTTTGCATCATGTCAAGAATCTCATTTGTCATCCATTCTTTTTTTCTTCTTCTTCCATTTTCCTTTAGGATGATCTCGTTTGCTAATGTTAATATTTCCAGTGCTTTGATATTTCTGTTTATTGCCCGTTGCCCTCTTTTATGGTGGAAGAGTTCTTCGATGTATATTTATTCCATGTCTGAAGTATTTTAATTTTTCTAATATCAGCGTTCCATCCTTGGATTTTATGCATCCCGCTGCTGAGTATGTCTTTTGTCCTCTTCGTTTTTTAAGCCTACTTTATATATAGTGCGATTTCTTTTGTTGTTTTTTTTGTTTTGTTTTTTGTGACAAACATTTTTTTTCATATAGATCATGTATAATGTGATCCCAGCCTCCAAGAAAAACTAATGAGCCTACCGTGGTCAAATATTGCACTACTAGGCATCGACCTGGATATGTTTTATAGCAAATAAATGCTCTTCATTCTTTTATGTTCAATGCAACCCCAACAAGAGAAGAAAAAAAAACTTACATTAAAATATCTTATTCGAAGAGTTAGATACCGTACTTTTGCCTGACTAAGATATTTTCAAAAAATTAATTTGGTATAGTGCGACCCCCTATTTTTTACATAACAGCTGATTACAAAAACTTGTACTATACACAAAATTATATATAGTACTTTTAATCCATCAGAAAAAAATTCAGAATGTGCCAAAAAATCTAAGCCTTCAAATACTCCATTGTATGGATCAGTGATAACAAATTAAATATTTTGAACACTTGCGCTTGAGTACTCAATGACTGATTTGTTTTTTTACAGCTTATCAATCTTTTTGCATGTTATTTAAAGTCAGAAATATTTTTAGATTATAAATTTTTTTTGGAGATAATAATCATTTACTGATTCCTACTTATCAACTCATAGCTACGAGGCGATATGTATTCATGCCTTTCCCAAGGGTATTTACGCGTGAGTGAAGATAACGAACCCGACCCGAATTAGAACTTGGTTCTGCGATATTCAATTCTGAGCCATTATCCATTACACCACCCGCACTTCCATACTTATAGCACTTGGTATTCCTACGCCATTCATCTAAGGCGCTAAATTTGCTTAATTTCGGTGATCGTACAATCACCGGTGTTTCAACGTGATATGTCCGGAAGCCTCGCTAAGGTTATTTTGTTTCATTCACTGTAAGGTGCTGTAAAATATTGACCTGAAATCGATTCATGCTCAGAAACAGTCTCATTAGATCTAGACCTCCATATAGATGCCATGTGTGGTATCAAATTGGCTCAGAAATGATCATCTAAATTATCATCGATATAAAAGGACTTCTCAGTTCTCTCATTAAAAGTGGTTTTAAAAGATTGGGTCCGTTTGGTCTTAAAGTAGACAAACTTGAGTAGAATTTGCAGACGGGCGCTACAGAATCACAAACGAAGAGTGTTTGCAAATAAAAAGAAACATACCTCGCTTGAATACTACCGGTACCAAAAATGGATATCACAGGTAACTAGAAGGCAAAGTAATGAAATAAACATGATGCAAAGTTACCACACTAAATTAAACAAAATATTTGAAATGAAATCCCCCATCAGTACCTCATAAAATCCTAAAGTACATCGAATTAAGTACCTCCTAGAGTCTACTTCAACTTTCTTTCTTTATTTTCTTTCTTGCTTCCTAAGTTTCTTTCTTTCTTTCTTTCTTTATTTTCTTTCTTGTTTCCTAAGTTTCTTTCTTTCTTTCTTTCTTTCTTTCTTTCTTTCTTTCTTTCTTTAGTTTCTTTCTTGCTTCCTAAGATTCTTTCTTTCTTTCTTTCTTTCTTTCTTTATTTATTTATTTTCTTTCTTGCTTCCTAAGTTTCTTTCTTTCTTTCTTTCTTTCTTTATTTTCTTTCTTGCTTCCTAAGTTTCTTTCTTTCTTTCTTTCTTTCTTTCTAAGTTTCTTTCTTTATTTATTTATTTTCTTTCTTGCTTCCTAAGTTTCTTTCTTTCTTTCTTTCTTTCTTTCTGTCTTCCTAAGTTTCTTTCTTTCTTTCTTTATTTTCTTTCTTGCTTCCTAAGTTTCTTTCTTTCTTTCTTTATTTTCTTTCTTGCTCCCTAAGTTTCTTTCTTTCTTTCTGTCTTTCTTTCTTTCTTTCTTTCTTTCTTCCTGAGTTTCTTTCTTTCTTTCTTTCTATCTTTCTTTATTTTCTTTCTTGCTTCCTAAGTTTCTTTCTTTCTTTCTTTCTTTTTTCTTTCTTTCTTTCTTACTTCCTAAGTTTCTTTCTTTCTTTCTTTCTTTCTTTCTTTATTTTCTTTCTTGCTTCCTAAGTTTCTTTCTTTCTTTCTTTCTTTCTTTTCTTTCTGTCTTCCTAAGTTTCTTTCTTTCTTTCTTTCTTTATTTTCTTTCTTGCTTCCTAAGTTTCTTTCTTTCTTTTCTTTCTTTCTTTCTTTCTTCCTGAGTTTCTTTCTTTCTTTCTTTTCTTTCTTTATTTTCTTTCTTGCTTCCTTTTTTTTCTTTCTTTCTTTCTTTCTTTCTTTTCTTTCTTTCTTTCTTTCTTGCTTCCCTAAGTTTCTTTCTTTCTTTCTTTTTTCTTTTCTTTCTTTCTTTATTTTCTTTCTTGCTTCCTAAGTTTCTTTCTTTCTTTCTTTCTTTCTTTCTTTCTTCCTGAGTTTCTTTCTTTCTTTCTTTCTTTATTTTCTTTCTTGCTTCCTAAGTTTCTTTCTTTCTTTCTTTCTTTCTTTTCTTTCTGTCTTCCTAAGTTTCTTTCTTTCTTTCTTTCTTTCTTTCTTTCTTTATTTATTTATTTTCTTTCTTGCTTCCTAAGTTTCTTTCTTTCTTTCTTTCTTTCTTTCTTTCTTTCTTTCTTTCTTTCTTTCTTGCATCCTGGGTTTCTTTCTTTCTTTCTTTCTTTCTTTCTTTCTTTCTTTCTTTCTTGCTTCCTAAGTTTCTTTCTTTCTTTATTTATTTATTTTCTTTCTTGCTTCCTAAGTTTCTTTCTTTCGTTCTTTCTTTCTTTATTTATTTCTTTCTTTCTTTCTTTCCTTCTTGCTTCCTAAGTTTCTTTCTTTCTTTCTTTATTTATTTATTTTCTTTCTTGCTTCCTATGTGTTTTTCTTTCTTTCTTTATTTTCTTTCTTGCTTCATAAGTTTCTTTCTTTCTTTCTTTCTTTCTTTCTTTCTTTCTTGCTCCCTAAGTTTCTTTCTTTCTTTCTTTCTTTCTTTCTTTCTTTCTTTCTTTCTTTCTTGCTCCCTAAGTTTCTTTCTTTCTTTCTTTCTTTCTTTCTTTCTTTCTTTCTTTCTTTCTTGCTCCCTAAGTTTCTTTCTTTCTTTCTTTCTTTTCTTTCTTGCTTCCTAAGTTTTTTCTTTCTTTCTTTCCTTCTTGCTTCCTAAGTTTCTTTCTTTCTTTCTTTATTTATTTTCTTTCTTGCTTCCTATGTGTTTTTCTTTCTTTCTTTATTTTCTTTCTTGCTTCCTAAGTTTCTTTCTTTCTTTCTTTCTTTCTTTCTTTCTTTCTTTCTTTCTTGCTCCCTAAGTTTCTTTCTTTCTTTCTTTCTTTCTTTCTTTCTTTCTTTCTTGCTCCCTAAGTTTCTTTCTTTCTTTCTTTCTTTCTTTCTTGCTCCCTAAGTTTCTTTCTTTCTTTCTTTCTTTCTTTCTTTCTTTCTTTCTTTCTTTCTTTTCTTTCTTGCTTCCTAAGTTTCTTTCTTTCTTTCTTTCCGGAGAGCCGAGTTCGAATCCGAATCAGTTCGTTATATTTACTTACGCGTAAGTACCATTGAAAAATGTATTAATCCATCTCTTCCCTTTTCTCCAACTATGGGTTAATTAGTGGACTGGTCTCAGCAAATCATTAGTAGCATTGCTATCAGCAAATTATTAAATATAACGAGAAGGAAAACTAATGAATTAATCAAGGTGTAATCTTGCCATACTAAATTAAACAAAAAGTTTGAAATTATTCCACATCATTACGAGAAAGTGAGAAAACCCTTAGCAGACCTTTGAAGAGGTGTAGAGGTTTAACAAGTTTCTTGATTACGATTGGGTTTCCGGTTCTTTCTACTAAAATCTACTTCCTGTCTATACTTCTAACGCCCCCGTCTAAAATCTGAAATGTCATTTGCTATAGATTTTTATTTTTTCTGAATAGGAGTTGATAGGTTCGACTATCATTTTGTTCACACTGCTCCTTAGTCTTTTGACAAGAGTAGAGGATTATCCCTTGTTTCTTTCCTGTTTAGAATTGGGTTTGCAGCACCTTCGAAAATTTTCACATTCTCTATCACTCCAAGTAGTCCCTCGCGTCATAGTGGCATTATCGCCTTGGTTCGGGTGAAATAATTAAAAAAAAAAACAGAACTTGTGGTGTCTACTTTTCAAAAAGAAACTGATTTAAGTACAAAGATTTTATGATTTTCAACTGACAGTAACGCTGATTAGTCAACGACGGCTGAATGTGTCGTGTACGGAAAATACTAATTTTACCACTACAATTACCGAAATTAGTCGAAATAGAATTTTCTTTAACTCTGTGGTATCGAGGCTTTACGAATTTAAGCTCTGCAACACCTTGTGTCTTAGTGGCTTTATTACATTGTTGGGATGAAATGATTGAAAAAATATATATAGTTTAATCATCTATCATACGTCAAGTTCATATACATACATACATATATATATATATACATACATATAGAAATATATAGAAATATACATACATACATATATATATATATATATATATATATATATATATATATTGGGTATATTTGGGCAGAAATGTCCTTTGAACATGTTTAAGTTTTTAAATATTTGGGAAGTAAGTGATTTTTAACATTTAAACAACACTCACACACACACACCTATATATATATATATATATATATATATATATATATTGGCTCCTGAATAATTAATTTCAGTTGAGCTCTCTGAGGAGGAGGTGTGGGTTGGTAAACAGTGACTATTATAGCTATATAGCGAGACTCTTCGCGAATTGAGTCACTGTCGGTCACTGGGCGTGTTTCTAAAAATAAATACGCTAAAACCCACCTTCATCGACGGCTTAATGGTTAGAATCTCCGACTGACCCCAATTCAGTCGGGTTTCGATCCTAGCTAGAGGCAACCGGATGTCTAGCCACACTGATGAGCTGCGAAACAGTCTGTCTGTGGATGACGTTATATATATTATATTATATTTGAGCAGCAACCTTTGTTTTGTTCAATGTCTACAGGTTCTATGCACCACGTATATATGTGTGTGCGTGTATGTGTGTGTTTGGGTGTGTGTGTGTTCGTGTATGTCTGTATTTTCCTATTTAAACCTTCATGTCCTCTTTCGGTAAATATTATCATGCCCAAATTTCATCTTTTCATAAGGATTTATTGTTAAAATCTACAATGTTATTAAATAATTTAAAAACTTTATATTACAAAAAATGTGATATATACGAGGTCTGATCAAAAAGTATCTGGACAGGTGCTATAAAAAGTAAACTGCAACACATATCAATTCGGCATTTCATCGCCTTCGAAGTAGTCCCCTTCTGAAGACAGAATGCATATTGTGTATATTTGGGCAGTAAGTGTTCTTTTAAATATCTACCATTAAAAACAATACACAGTTTGCATCTATTGGCTTTAATGAGTTTTTTCTCCAGTAGGAATATTACTTTTTTAATATATATATATATATATATATATATATATATATATATATATATATATATATATATATATATATATATATATATATATATATATATGTATATATATATATATGAGAAATACACAAATTGTTATGTTCGTTACTTTCAGTCATTCCCGGACTCTGTTAAAGGATTTCGATAATGTGAAACTCTAGGGAATATTGGTTTGGTTTAAAACCTTTAAAGAAACAATTATTTCATTTGTAAAATTTTCGTTTTTTCTTTGACAGCGCAAATCAAATACCTGTTCAGTGTAATATGCTTTATGTAATATGTTCTTTATTTCTTACATTCATAAAAATATCTTACGCGAGAAAAAAATATTTTTTTTTTCTCTCCTAAAATGTCGCTCACACAATTTCCGCGTCCTGTGCTCAAGAAAAAAAAAATGCCTAGAACATTTTTACAATTTAAGCACAAGAAAATTCAATGACGAACATGAAATACTTCGAATATTTTAAGAGCATCATGGCGGTCATAAATTGTGAGCGTTAAGACTAGAAAAATTAGAAATAAAACTGGTGGAATTAAAAAAAAAGAATGTAAATAAAGTAACATCACGTCTTCCCATCAAATTTTGCAAAAGCGTTTCTGCATCTTTTCCATTCTTCGATTCTTGATCTCTTGTTTCCTTCTGACGCTGGTTTCCTTTAGTTTCTTTATCCTTTCTTCCTTCTCTTTCCACTTTGCCTGCATTGTGTTTTCTGTCATACTTCTTTCGTGCCTTGTACATGCGCAGTGAGCTCTACCTAGGTGCATTTGCGCATATCGACTTGAAGCTATTCAAAAGTATAACGACCTACCCTTTCCTTTATTCATTGTTTTTTTTTCTTACTCAGTACTTCCTTTCTTAGCCCAAATGCAACTCACTTTTTTATTCATTCTGTTTCCAGTTCACTCTTTCTTTCTATCTCGATGTTCTTCTTATTCTTTTCCTCGAATACGTAATATGTCAATGTATTTCTTATATTAGTATATTTTGATCTAAGTTCCGATCAAAGTATCGATATATTTTCAGTACCTCCTATTAGATAAATAGATAGATAGATATGAAGAGACCAAGATAGACATGTGAATACTGAGATAGATAGATAGATAGATAGATAGATAGATAGATAGATAGATAGATAGATAGATAGATAGATAGATTACCATGACGCAATTCACTCCGCCAGAAATTTGGAAATTGGATGCTGTACTGATTTGCATTCACATTGGAAGCTCCAATACGAAGATTTCAGCTTGTTTGGGTGTCAATCTGAGGACAGTGCTGATGATTCAGAAAGAGTTGGATGAGTCTAATGGTGATTACGAAGGTATTACAGCTCGAAAAACTCACTCTGATTGTTCTGATAAGAAAGAACTCCCGAATCTGTTGTTGAGGGCCTCAGACCCAATACGGATGCCTACGTCAAGTGTCTTGAGGAGGTATAGCTGCCCTGGGTCAAGAGACTGCTGGATAACCCTAAGTGTGCAACAGTGCTATGCACCATACCACCGAAGCAGGAGAACTCAATCATGGCTGTCAAAAAGTTTCTGCGACCACATCACCCCTTACATCTGGCCACCTAACTCCCCAGACTGCACCCTCTTGATTATTATGTGTGGGGTGCAGTTGATCGAGCGACCAACAAATCTCCTTGTAGCACCAAATATAAACTGTAGCAAAGATTATTGCAGCATTCACTAACTTAAACAGGGAGACCGTCTAGAAGAGATGGGGGAGATTCCGAAGTCATGTGGCGGCCGTAGTTGAAGTCAATGGTAATTTTATTGAAGAAATTTATTCTTTAGTTTTTCATGATATTTTTGCGCAAATTTAATAAATATATCTGTTAAAACGAGATGTCAGTGTTATTTTCATCTTAGACGACAATTTATCCATCGCACTAGCTAGCTAGCTAGCTAGATAGATAGATAGATAGATAGATAGATAGATATGAATAAACGAACAGCTTTTAATACAATCGAGAAGAGATGAGTAGCTACGGTTTCGGCTTTTTCATAGTGGGTCACGTCATACGTATTTTATGTGTGTGGGATTCATAATATTCGTGTTTATGCATGCGTGTATTGAATTATCCCGTGTCCATTCTGGACCTAAGAGATAGTGTCGCTCTACAATGTCCTGTTGTTTGTAGCTCTTAATAAATTATATCTTTTTGCTATCTCTCTTAAACCTTGTTTCGTTATCCATTTACTCAGGATCTTTAGGCTGATTATGCGTTGCTTTCCTCTGTCCCACTTAATTTAATCAGCCATGTGAGCATCAGATTTTGCAAACCTTCTTTCTGCATTATGTGCACCAGAAATTTCAACTGTCTTTTTCCTGATATTAATTGTCCTTTTTGTTTCCCGTTTCTGTAAAACGCTGCCATTCCTCAACATCCTTGTTTCAAATCACATTTCTCTTTCTGCAAGTCTTTTCTTCATCTGTGAGGAGACTGTCCAGCATTCACTGCCATATAGGAGGGTTGATATTACATAATAGTTCAGTACTCTTTTCTTTGTTTCTATTGCTTCAAGTGTCTTCGTCCGTAATGAAATTGTCCAGCATTCACTGCCATATAGAAGTACTGCTATTACAAAACAGTACAGTTCTCTCTTTTTTTATTCTAACGAAATCTTTGTTTCTTAATACTTTGCTTAGATTTTGGAAGGCATTTTCGCTATCCCCGTGCACATTCGAATTTCAATGTCGCATTTTCTGTCGTTTGTCAAAACACTTCCCAGATATTTAAATTTTTTGTAAATGTTTGTTTTTGGTATCTCCAATTTGTAATTTGTACGTTGGTTTCTTCCTTTTACTAACAACTGTAGATACATCCCTCTTGCAATTGGGGTTTAGTCCTTTCTTCTCGCTTTCCTTCTCTGCCTTCGTGATACTTTTTCTATTTTTTCTTTAGTCACGAAATCTTTAAAATATCCTTTAAAATTTCCTTCTTTACTAGTAATCGACACTTTGCCTTCAAATGAAAACTATTGAGAAATGAATGTTTTATGAGAATATTTACATTCGAAAGAGATTGGAATCTTGCCAAATTTTCTTCGAAAACTCCTGACATTCTCGAAGAACATGTTTCTAGAGAATAGAACAACGGAAATAAAAATGCGAATAAGACTGATTCAAATTCCACTTCCGGTACGGCAGACCAGTACTTTTAACATTAAAACCAACTGATTTGACTTTCTCTGTAGGCACTAATAAGACAGTCACGATTTTGCAATTCTGTCTCTAATCTCTGAGGAATATAAATGTTCTTAGCAGAATCGACATTTTTGTCATTGGTGCTTCGTTCCAAAAGAGTATACGTACTTTTGATAAACCAAAATGGTTTTGAACGGCGTACACATAGTTTTAAAAAAAATTACTAATCTTTTTCGTAGAAGATATATCTAACACATATGTCCTTTATTCTGTGTAATGTAGTAGTGTAATCTTAATGCTATATGATATGTAGATGACACTCTGTTGATGGTCAACAGGGAAGGAGAACTACAGCCTCACCCCTAGAGAGAGTAGAAAAAAGCGATAACAAGGAGTAACCATCAACTTCTTCGAAAATAGCAGGAGAAAAAAGCCCAATTTTTGAGTGATGACCAAAGATGCTTTACAAAAGCTAAGCAGAGTATTAAGAGACAGAAAAACGTCGTTAGAAAGAATGAAAGAAAGAAAGAAAAGAGTACTGAACTATTACGTGATATCTGTCCTCCTATATGTCAGTGAATGCTCGACAATCTCCTCAAATATAAAGAGACCAGAATACAGAAAACAGAAATGTAGTTCTACAGAAAGATGCGAAGGATACTATGAAACAAAAATCTAAACAACGACGAGCTTTAAAGAAAAACAAAAATAAAAAAAAGAAACTTATATTTAACACCAGGAAGAGGCAGTTGAAATTTCTTGATGAGGGAGGGCTTGGAAAATTTGATACTCACGGGACAGATTGAGGGAAAGTGATACAGAGGAAAATAGGGTGAAACATACTTGATGAGCTTGAGTAAATTGATGGTAGGACAGAGTGTGGGAGAAATAAATAAAAAAAAGACAAAACTTATTAACAGCTACAAGGGAAACGAAGATGTGGAAGGCCATGTTCGCCAACGTCCTAAAGGGACACGACGCATAAAAGAAGAATGATCTTGAGTATATGTATGGTAGAACAGGGGTTAAAAGAAGTAACAAAAAGACAGAACTTATTAAGAGACAGGAAGATGTGGAACGCCATGATCGCCTACGTCCCGAGAGGGCACGGCACATAAAAGGAAAATAATGATCTTGAATATATGTATGGTAGAAAAGGAGTTGGATTCATTAACAAAAAGACAGAACTTAATAAGTGCTTCAATGAACAGGAAGATGTGGATGGCCATGAACGACTACGTCCTGAAGGGACACGGCACATAAACTAGAAGAAAGTAGAAGAAATAAATGGTTCGTTTCGAAATTCCAATTAGCTGAAGAAGACCGGAGCTTACAGCGGTCGAAACGTTGTGAATATGGCCACAAAAATTAAAATAACAGTCTGAACATTGTAAATAATTACAATACCTCATCTCAGAAATATAGACAGATGTTTAGAACGAACCGGAAACCCAATCGTAAACAGGAAAAAAAAGGATAAACCTATACTCCTGTTCAATAGACGATGAAGTACTGTGAGCAGGGTGATCGGTTTATCTATCTATTCCTATCACGAAAGTAAGCATACCAGGACATCTAAAGTGGTGTTTCAATGAGTTGAGCTAAAAGCCTGAAATCCACCAACTGCAGATTCAGGCTTCAAAGAATTTCAGTAACTGCTAAAAAAGGAAGCCATACCAGAAGAGCTTAGAAGATACATAGGCAAGACAACCAGATGAGAGGAAGTGATATAAACGCATCACCCGCAAGGGAAAAGGTATTTTCTTTCATCTTCGCAAGAAGATCGAAAGTTCCGAGAAACAACATACCCACACGACCGACGGTTTGACGTTGTCCAGGAGTGGACAAACAATAATTTTACGTTAAAAGATTTAGTGTCGTATTTTTATCAGATGTGACGAACATAGTGTTATATTCACAGATCAATGTCGCTTCTTTAAAACAAGGTCGTATTTTATGACCTTGTTTTATTGAGAAATCAATTAAAAATGTTTATAGCTGTTTGATTCGGCATTGCTTGACAAAACAAAACTTGGTTTTAGTGATAAACATCTTTTATGACTCGTTTTACGGTGTTCTTTTTACATTTTAACTTTGCTTAAAATTTAAAAAGGAAAAAGGAACACTCTAATACTTGACCTTCATTCACAGATAAACAAATATCATTTTCACAGAGTTCTGAATAGTGAAATTAAATTGAGGCCGATATTCGCCAGATAAAATAGTCACTTAATACCTTGACATGCTAACACATAAAATATCGATATAAACACATCCACAGAGAAATGGCAGAAAGAGTTCAAATCCAGCCTGTGACTATTTATTTCCTTTTTTTTTTTTTAGAAAGAACATTATCATACTTCTCCACATGTCGAACTAACACCACGCCATCCCGTGTTTATTTTATGTCTTTTTATTAAGATGGATGTATATACATCTATCTCTTTTCTTCCAACACCTCATGCCACCAATTGAAACCTGCCCCATCAAATACATGTGTGCATAAATTAAAAATTATAATAATAAATTCTTCTTATACCTGTAATATTTGTTACCCATTTATTTGTATGAAAATGCTGATCTGAGGAATTAGAATCGAATTTTCATTCTAAGAAAATAAGTTAAAATCAATATGAACACTTAAAGTTGTCTATTTCTTAATATAATTTATATATATATATATATATATATATATATATATATAGATAGATAGATAGAGAGAGAGAGAGAGAGAGAGAGAAAGAGAAAGAGAGAGAGAGAGATTTGTAGTGTTTTAGGTGTGTGAAAACGAAAAAATAAACACTCTCTACAAGTTCAAATAAATT